CCCCTGGGGTTTCTGAGAGTTGCAGTCCAAACTACAGTTAGCATGGCTCTGTAGCATTGCTCCCCCTGCCATCACACACTCCATCAGCCATCACTTTTCTCACATTCCCTTTCTATACATTTCATTATTACCAATGGAAATATTTTTCCTTTGGTCTGTATGAGGGGAAATCAACACTTATCAATAAAAATCAAATCCTGCCAGGCCTAAATATATCCCACTTGCATGGCAGAAGTAAAATGTAAGCAAATATTTGAAATTAGTTGCACAGAGTTATTACATGAGATACTATTTTATTTGCAAAATGAAGAAAATTAGTGACTTGGGTCTAAGTTCTATACAAATCTGCCATTATACTTTTTAGCATTAAGATCACTGAGCAGTACAAACTGAGGAAACATTTTTACACTGGAGACTGAACCACCTTATTTCATTTTCAAAGGCAGAAATTCTGGAACATCTCTGCTGTATAAGGAATCTGAGATGATGATAAGCTTTGAGGTTTTGCACAGCCTGCATGACGTTGCCACCAGTGGCACCCTCCTTTCAATGTTCTACCTAGTTTTGTTCCTTTTTTAAAAAAGAGACACTTCAAGCTATGTAACTGTTTTGTACTTCCCCTGGTTATCTAGCTGCTGTGTTACCACAAAGAGCTCCTTCATGGCTGGGATTGGGCATCTGACAGAGTAGGACTGTTACCTAACAAAAGCTCATGCCTCTTTGAACTAGTTCATCTCTAAGGTGCCACCCTGCCTAGCCTTCTGCCTGACTTCAGACTAACCTAGCTAACTACCTCTGTGCTCATGAAAAACATTGCATTAGTTTTGTCCTGCACATGATCAAATCATAACTGAAGCCCAGTTTTTTTTTTGTTTTTTTTTTAGCAGAGATGGTCCCAAGTTGCCAAAGCCAGGTAGGGGTGCCCATGTCAAAGGAAGAGGTCAGCATGAATGTACGTGTCAGGATATTTGCAGGGGTTTAGGTTGTAGCCGTGTTGGTCTAAGGACATAGGCAGACAAGGTTCCTTGGGTGAATCTGATATCTTTTATTAGACCAACCCAAATAGTTGTATTAAGCAAGCTTTCGGGTTCAAAAACCCTTTGTCAGGCTAAGGAAGTTTCAGCAGTTGGTGTGTGCTCTTCCTGGATGGAATGAATGAAATGGAATGAAAAGGATATTTGCATGCATTCATGGAAAAGATTTAACAGAATCACTGACAGGAGAGTGCCTAAAGGTGTTCTCTCCTATTGTACAATCTCTTATTTTCCAGCTTACGGTTAATTTTCATTTTTGATGGTGTTCTTCCTTAACCTCTCTTTCTTCTGGTCTAAGTCAGATTTTCCTCCTCTGCACATCACTGAATGTTTCTGGCTCTCATCATCACAGGAATAAAACATTCCTCTGAAGTAGGAGACCATCAGTATCTTCATTTTACGTAAGGAGTACTGAGGCACAGGAAAAATGGTTACATTGGAAGACTATGGGAAAGGCAGGAACTGAACTCAGGTTTACTGAGCCACAGCCTAATAACTCACTTGTTTCATAAGTAAGCTATGTGTTTCCAATATCTTTAAAAACAGGCCTGTGCAATGAGCTCAACTTTTGGCTGGTATGAATCAGGTATACGTGTGCTTCCACGGTGGGATTGCAAAACATAATGCCATTTACTTTACAATTTAATGGCAAAAGCTTCCTCATAGCATCACTCTTGAAACCAGAAATCAGTTGTCAAACAAGCTTACTGGCTACTGGAGATGTTCACAATGTTATGTATAATGAGCATATGCTAACAGTTCAGCACAGGGTTTAATCTCATTTGAAGGACTCAGTGAAAGGGGAACTTGCTTTGCAGAAGCTTTTCATGAGCACTAGGATAATTTTCCTCTAAGAAGGATTATTTAGCAGCACCCAGAGACACTGCAACTCCTTTACAGATATTGGAAACACCCCAATATTCCTTTAAATTTGCTAGGCACACAGCCCCCAGGATTCCCTCACTCCAATGTCATTCTAGCTAGCTGTCCAACAGGGGAAAGAGATGGAGCTGAAGTCAGAGATTTGAATGGCTCTCACTCAGTTATCTCCTATCTACATTTTTCCTTAGGAGTGGATAGAGGAGAAGCAGATGGAAGATCATCAGTACTTGGATTCTGATGGTATTCCCATTCATGGGTCTGACTAGCATCTAAATAGCCACGTGCCCAGATTCACCTGCAAGACTGCTCACCCACCACCCGCTACCCCCTCAAGCTCTCTACTGTTCAGCAACAACATGGAATAGGCCTTACCACTGCATTCAGAGCTCATTCTCCTCCCCCTGCCCTGCCATTTTATTGTCTTTAATAATAGAATGCAACAAAAAAACAGGGAAAAAGTAGAGGGCGGGATATTTCTATTAACAAGACTTGGTGGTGAACTGTTTAAAACATCCAAGATGCTTTTCATCCTCCACAGATTCCATTTAATTATAATGGTACTCTGTTTGGTAATACACCTCATGCAGGTATATATATAGCTCCACATTGCAAAGACAGCTTTCTTTATAAAAGATCAACTTTTGTATGTACAGGATTCTCGCTGTGCATTGTTTTGGGTCTCTTTAAGATGCCATTAAAAGCCCATTTTTCTGAATGACATGTCAGTCTACATCATTTAGCCTGAAGAATGACAGAGGTTGTCAGTCCTGATATTTTCCTACTTAAAACAAATTAAATTTGTTTAGTTCTTTGTGATGTGACACTATGAAGAACTCAAAACCCAAATTTCAAATTGTTTTCTCCCAAAATCTAGATAACAATTTTTGCTCCTTGGCATTCTGTGTTTACAATTTATCTTTTACTGGAGGATCTCAAAATGATTAAAAAATAATCTTGTAAAGTAAAATATATGTATTACACAGATAAGGAAAAATAGAGTTCACCAACATTAAGTGAGTTGCTGAAAAAGGTATAAAAAAATTAGGAGAAAAGCCTGGGTTAGATTTAGTTTGATATATTCCAATTACCACAGTCTCAATTTTCAACTACAATTTATAGATGCTACTATCCTAAAGGGAACTATGTATTTATCTATAATTTGCTAATCTATCCAATAATTAGACCCTGGAGGCTAGATCCTTCATGACCCTTATAGTTTGGCATGACCACAAGTCATATTTTATCCTCAACATAGGCTGCATACAAGCTATCCAGTACTATACCACAGACTACAGTGTTTTTTCATCCCAGATTTAGAGATGTTAGGGTCCACAGCACAGATAACGGATCAACCTTTTTCCACATCCACCCTCATTATGAACAGCACTGTAGAAAAACTTCCACAAGAAATGCTCCTCTATAAAGGCTTCTTTCATTAGAAAGACTCAAATTCTTTTTGAACTTGAGACAGCTTGTAGATGTGGGACCGGAAAGTTACAGGGTTTTTTTTTGTTTTTTTTTTTGAGGGTCACTTAATGTGGTTCTATTACTATAAGGGAAAGATAATTGAGAGCAAGAGGTTTTCGATAGGGGTGAAAGAAGTTAGCAAACTGAAGCTGATGATGGAGTATTTTTAACGGTTAGGTTTTCAAACTAATAGTTTCCCAATTCTGGTTTTCAAACATTTGTTTTTCCACTCTCAACCCAGTTGTCCTTACTTTCCTTATTTGAAAAACATTATTGTTCTACTTATGATGTAAATTAATCAGCGATCTGAAAGCTTTGCAGGGTATTTTGTTTCCGACTCAAAACCAATACTATGTACTCTTGGGACATGGTAGCTCAGCTTTTAAATCTTCCCTACTACTGTGGCTAAGTAGAAACTCAATCTCACACAATGCAGCTCAAAAACTGCTTTCCTTGTATGGGGTGATTCTGCTCCTCCCCCACGATTTTTTTTTTTTTTAATAGGAATCAACTTACTTTGCTACTTGATTACGACAAGATATGTTCATAGATAGGGCAAAACTTACTGAACCATATAGTCTCCAAGATCCAGACACATAAGAGAGAGTGGTGGAGACTTTCAACCATAAAGATGTGCAGTGAGGATGGCAAACCTTATTTCACAATTCTCAAAAAAAGGATTTTTGATTAACTTTTTTTGGTACTGTCAGACAAATCCTTTGGATGGACTTTTTGGTGTATATACCAACTTGATCACTTTTGTTACATTCTAAGGTCATGGAACCTGGGTGCTTTTCTACACAGGAAAATGTGCTGGCATTGTCATCATGGATGCTCTAGTTCTGGGTCTTCTGGCTTACAACTTTCACCACTGACCTACAAAAATCTCTGCAGTAACCTAAATACTATTTATTAAGTGTCTATCAGACAGTGAAATATAAAATAATAGACCATTTTCTACAATGTTTAAGTGGGCTCTCTTTCTTTGAGGGTCAGAGACCAACTACTGTTGGATTCAATATAGTCACCACAAATCCAGCTTCGTTAACAATTCCATTCAACACATATCCTGAAGTCAGTGTTTACACTGCAACTAACAATCATATTTAGCACAGATATACGTTTCAAGATTTTAATCTGTCACTGAAAGTAGTGTCTGACAATGGACTGTTGCTCTACCAGTTTACCGGTTAAGTAAACTAGATCTAAAAACTGAGATAGAAAACATCTCTGGACCTCACACTGTTTTCACATCAGTCTTATACTACTGCATTTAAATATTACTTTGGTTGGATTTGGGGGCTCACATCACTTCTGCTGATCAGGTTCCCTTTGCAAATATGGGTGCAGAAACCCTTAACTTTACAGAAAACAGCTTGAAAATCTTGACTCTCACATGCTAAAATGAAAAGCATTATTCTGTGACCATAGGAAGGGGGACCATGTTCAGTGTCTTCCTCTTTTTAGGAAGCTGAAAGTGATTTTAGTGGCATCAAAGATAATCCCCCAAAATACCCTTGGTTCTTTCACATTTCCTGGACCATTAGTTACAACAACACTCCAACCCTGCAAAAGTGATCTTGACACAAAAGGTAAAATTTGTGGTATTTTACTTACACGAGGAGGGACAGCCTGGAGAGCTGTGATATAGTTCTCCAGAGCGATACGGCGACGGTCATTCAGCATGGCTTCTACCCTGGCCATGTGGGTCTCCACTAGTTGCTGTCTTTCATTTGCTGCTTCTTGTTCCAGTGACTCCACTTTCTCTTGGAAATGCTGTTGATTGCAAGTTTAAACAAAGAGAATGTGTGAGAGAGAGAACAATCATTACTGATCAACAGCACAATGGGTGAATACCTTTCCTATATGTAATTAAAATCTCTCTCAAACTTATGGAAGTCATCTGTATTTTCCAATAGGTTACTGACTTAGAAAATATGGAAATTCTGAGTTTACAAATTTCCCACTGGCTTACATGGGAGCTGCAGGTGCCCAGCATTGCTTAAACACCTGGTTGTATTTTATAAACCAATCAAATATTTTTGCCTAGTTCAGCATGACAGCAAACAAATCCTCCATTTGACCCTTAAGCCCTCCTGAATATCAAAGTCACTTCATGAACTTTATGAATAAGAGGGAAAAACAACCTCAACTTCAAAGCTAAAAATCCGAGTTTGTTAAACACTGAATACAAAGGAAAAAATTACCATAAACTGGAAAAAAAAAAATCTAACAAGAAAAGGTTGAGTGGACAAAATTCACACAGAGTGAAGCAGTAGGATTTAATATGAAATATTGTATTTCTGGATTTTTGTGATTTTTTTTTACTGAAATCTTCCCAACAGTTTGAGAATGTCAGAGACATAAATTTAAGTGGCTCCAGTGGACCTCAAGGAGTGTCTGGCACTTCTCCTTTTTGGGTATCTCTGTCTGGGATAGCTCTCCCCCACATTGTAATTGTTTTGGTTTTGGGATACGTGGAAGGGGCAAGGGGAAGGAATAAGAACAAATGTTGTGCCTATCTTGCTTTCCAATTAATTTTGGTGAAAAATCTTTACCATTCACGCTATTTCAGCTCTGAGAATAGCCCTTTGGAGCTCTTGGAATAGTCCAGATGCTTATAATAACCGACCATATCTAGGATGGCTGCAGATTTGTTTTGGATGACGGTGACTTCCATTGTCTCCTAACAACATTGGTTTTCTTATTTCTACTTGGAACATCGATTCTTGAGAGGTACCTAAAGCTTCTAGTGGCATGCTTGAGCAGGGTTTATAGAAGCTAGGTTCACAGCTCCCACCAAAGATCCCACTAAAAATATACAGTAGTAACATAGTGAATTGTGAAGTTCTCCATTATAATTTAGGCGGTTGGGTGCTAAGTATAAAAGCAACTGTGAGTAACTGGCATCTGGCAGTAAACAGCAACTGTAAGAGCAGAAAATAATACTAATTCCCCACACAAATATTTTAAAATTTTATCACAACTAGCAGCCTTTGTTGCTTATTTGCAATCCCAACTGGTATGCATGTAACTGTGTGTGTGTTTTTTTAACCTGGATAACCGCCTTCTTATCAGCCTTTGGCAAGTTCTTTGCTTGGCGTTCTGCTTCTTCCCATTCCCTCATGACCTGCACAGAAACAAATTTGGAAGTATGACTTTTTAGTTTTTCCTCTGTTACTCTCTCATCCTGGAGTCTAGTAATGGCCAAATACAATCATAAGAGATAATCTTTTCTTTATATTCCTCTCAACCCATTATGGAAAATCCCCAGTTAAAACATTTAGCAAACAGTTTTATTAATTAAATGCAAGGAATGTACCAGCCTGTCTGAACACCCTTGCAGGCTCTTGAATCATCATTATGAAGCAATGAAGTGCATTAACTGCAGCTGTTAAACTGATTCTACAGGAGCAGCAGAGAAAATGGAGCTATTAGATGGGTTACCAAACTGATTTATTCCTCATAGAGGGATAAGAAAAAGGTATAAATATGTCCTCAGTCAAAATGAACCAATTTTTATTGATTCTAAATGGCATTCATTCACATCACAAAGATTTCTAGATTTTGGTGGAGAACATGAACTAACCTTGATTAAAACAGGTCAAGAACTACATACAATTTTTACTAGTTGGTTCTGATCTATGTGCTATAGACATCAAGAATTGGCCTTACTTATCTTTGACATCTCCCAACAATGATATAGAAAAACTTGTAAATTGGCTTATTCTGACAATGTCCTCTAGGAAAGAAAAAGCAGCATTCCCCTAGCAAGGAAAGGAATGGCTCATGGTTTGTCTCATCACGAGTTCTATTATGTGCTGCTGGAAATCATGGTATATACTTGTACAAAAACATGGCTTTGGCCATGAACTTTCCTGCTATGTTTCTAGGCACCAATCCTGTCAGATGGCACTGTGTATTTACAGTTTCTTCCACTGATTTCACTTTCAGAAAAAAAACAGTGGCTTTTATTTGTCAAACTGGTAGTTTTGGTCAAACTGGTGATATTGTAGATGTGATGGTCCAGAAAAATTATGACTTGAGGAAGGGGACTGTGATACCTGAAAGCTTGTCAGTGTCCCTTCCAACTATACAATGTGCCAGTAAAAGACATCAGTCCCAAAAATCCTTGTCTCTTGCTTTTACAGAGTTGAAACTTAAAGGTGTCTAAATCCTTTAGTGGATTTGCGTCTTATCGAAAACAGAGAAAAGGGGCAGGGCAGAGTGCAGAGCTACACAAGCTACACAGAATGAGCTACACAAGAACAAAATGAACTAAATATGGTTTTATGATCCACTTTAAGGAGGAATTTAAATTTTAAAATAACGCCTCATTAAGGTAGAAAGGCAACATTAACCAGAGAAAGCAATCCATTTTTTTCCTCTTGAAGGTAAGCCAACATATTTTAAATGAGGCTATTTATTGATTCAGGGGTGTTTCTCATCAGGTACAAAGTTAGACTTAGGCAAGTTTTGTGCTGCCTGTTCTGGGCTTGTTATATTATTTTAAGTGTTACTGATTAGGAATAGTAGATCTGGGTATTTGAATGATGATTAGAAGCAGAGGCCTGCAATTATATAACTTGTAAATCATCACCTATTTTATGATAGTTTTGACCAGGATCTATAATTTGGAAAAAGAAGGCCTAAGATGTGTACACAACACCTACCTGTTGAAAGTTTATATATGCCCCTCCAATATGCAGACACTTTTCATTGGGAAATAACAATCCTATCATAGTTTGTTACAAGATGCAAAATGAAAATATGAGATTTCACATGGAAAGGTTTGTAATAAGTAGCTGAAGATTGAAATGAAACACAGAGATGCAAATTACACACTGCCCATCATCAGTTATTATATGTGACATCTTACTATCTCTCTCCATCAAAGCAACATTGGAGAGACTTTGGATCCATGATTATGCAGGGCACTTTGATGTACAATTTAATTATTGTCCAGGGTGGTATAATACACATTAGACACTCATGTCTTAATTGTGAACTTGCGTCAGAAGTGAAAGATTTTGGTGGTCTTCAAAACTTGTATCATTCAGGAAGGTTCTGTTTTGAGGACTGAAATATCATCAGTGTTGCAGGCTATGAAAGTCAGCGAGGACATGGGAACTGCAGCATTAATTCAAGTCAGTTCAAGACATAAAATACAATGGTATGCGTTAAAGCTTGAGCATTGGCATAGATTAGCAACTTTTAACTATGATTTTCTTTCCCCCTTTCATGGTTTTAAATCAGACCTTTGACACATTAAATACTCTTTTTCACACTGAATGTAGTCAGTAGTTTTAGAAAACAATAGTTCTTTGCCCTCCATACTAACCTTGAAATTTAAAAGCAAAGGCACTTTGCTAATCCATGTGATGAAAATAAGCATTAAAAGCAATGAGATAAGGACATATTCGGCTAAACTGGGTTTTGCAGCCTGCTATCATTTCTCTAAACCTTTTAGGGTATAGGAGGCAGGATGATAAAATGACAGCTCACACAGCTGGAGTGAGGAGATGTAAATTCTGGTATCCAAAGTTCAACCATAGTGCACTGAGAATGAATGGTTTGTGAAAAAGCAGAATAGCTTAGCTATCTTTAGAAGTAACATTCAATGTAATATTTGCCCAACTTGTATTTTGAGGACTGTATTATTACAACCAGGAAAATCTGCAGTGACAAAAGCCTCTCTTTACACAGACCGATCAAAAAAAACTTCAGCTGTTACACCTGCAGCTATGCGTATGCATCAACACTACCAGCCAGACAAAACCCCTATCTTTTTAAGGTGGTCACAGGTTTAGAGAAATTATGACTGTTCAACAAAAAAAAAAGCCTCAGCATCTGTGGGAAAACAAATGACAACAACAAGAAAAATAATTCTGAAGATATGCATTTGCAGAAAAAAGGCTGCCTCAGGACCATGAAGTTGTCCTGTATGCGCTTATAAAGCTATTCTCCTTCATTGAAAGCACAAAGCTATCAAGGCCACACAGATTTATGGCACTTCAAAGACTTGGCTGTTTCATGCAGAGAAAATGACAACTTCTAGGTTGAGATTTAGGAGGCAAGACATTTCAAAGTCAAATAGTCCTCAGAATTCAGGACATGCTGCATGAGACATACTCCTTTGGCAGGAGGGGTAAGAGGGAAGAGGGAGTAACAAAAATGTCATTCATTATTAAGACAAATAATAATCACAAAAATCCCATTATATTGAAACCCATATAATTTACTTTGGTTATGTATATAGTAATGCATGGAGTACACAGGAAGTATTTATGTGACGCATTTCAGGTGAATTTGCAATCCTGCCTGGACAGACACCTATCTGAGGAAAAGTTTGATTAAAAATATTGAAATTTTGACACCAAGATGCATGCCTACCAAAGGGCTGCCATTTTAGGTCATGAAGTTTTCTTCTTCTCTGCTACTAATAGAATAGAATAGAATAGAATAGAATAATCTAAAAAACCTGCAAAGAATCCTGGCTCTGTCACCAGAGAGATACTGGTGATAAGGATAAAGCACTAAGTAGTTACAGAGAGGAAAATGGTCCCTCCAGAATCTGGGTGCAGAAGGCAACAACTCAGGGATATGATAAAGGATAAAGTACAACTATCATTCTGTGTGTATAGCGGCCCTACCAGACCATGCTATCTGGACAGTGGCACCATAAATCACCTATTTTTCAAGTGCAAGACATTGGTTTGAGGCCCATATTTGCTCTCTGTCTTCCCTCCCCTGCTGCTAGGATTGCCTACCCTAGCAATATACTAGTGAAAGACTAATAGAAGACAGGTTTCCACACTGCCCCAGAAGACTAGCAAAGGCACACTTGAATCACATAGCTCATGGGTATCACTTCCCTGGACACTGGGGCTAGGTACAGACACGCAAAAAACTTGATGTGGAATCTAAGTTGCACCATTTTCTGTAAGTGGTATAGTTCAGATTGGTAGCGAACAGAACACACATTCTGTTCCCCTTTGGTGGAGGAGGGAAGGGGGAGAGGCAAATCTTAGACTGCTTTCCATCATTTCTAAACCAGTCTGTGTGTGTTGAACTTTTGTTCTGTTATGGGTATAGACTTGTTTCCAATCACTTATACTGGTAAAAGCATAATGTCTGTACCTGGCTTGGGACATCTAATAGTGTCTGATCTTTCTTGCAGAACAGAAAGCAGCCTTAAACAATGTAAAAAGGGAAAACACACTAGTATGCCCTCAAAGCAAAGAATAAGTGCAGAATTAAGCTACCTTTGTACACCTAAATGGCAGTTTTCTAGACATCTACCTGGATGTCTTTGGCCCTGGTTTTACACCGTGGCTGTGTAAGCATACCCAAATAGTGCGATATACTGGCCATGTAGATTCTGGAGGAGGACCTCCCATATTTTTGTTATTGAGCTCAGTGGTTAGAGCACTTGCTCAGGAATCTGGAGAGACAGGTTCTAGACTCTCCTTGCCCAGAGGGGGTTTGATTTCTCTCTCTTTCTCTTTTCCCAGTGAAGTGTGGAAACCAGCACGTCAGAAGTCAGACATCCTTTAAGACTAAAGAACTAGTTGATCTTGTTCTTTTACACCTTGTTTTTATTCATATATTGGAAGCAAAACTTCCTGCTTTGCTCCTAAACTCCACTTCTACAATTAAAGTTTGTCATTGAGCTAAAGAACTGGTCAATAAGCTCTGCTAAATTGGCAGAGCAAACTGCAATGAAGACACTAGTCTCCTTTTCTGCAGCTGCCGAAAAGGCTACTGTTGTCAAAAGTTGGGTTAACTATTCAACATGCTTTGGTTCCCAGAGTTTAGTCACCGATTTCCATCAGTTTAGTGATTTGATTGTCTTTAAAACTTTAGTACTGCTTAAAAATTATTTCACTTACATTATTTTAATATGTTGTGGTAAGTTTCAAGATGTTTTCTTAATTTAAATTCAAAAAATCTGCTTAAAATAATTTTAAAAAATTGGTTTTTATTCACCCTGCCTGCTGGGGATAAGTTGTAAAACATAGATGCAAGTTCTGCATGTTGCTGAGGAAAAAAATGTATCTTTTTATCATATCAAATTGTATTCTACTGCACATCATATGTTCCCAAAAGACATGCAGAATTTAGAAAAAAAGATTTTTCCAGAGTCATGTGTGACGGAGTAAATCCTCCTGGAAACATACTGCATCAAGGAAATGTAGCATCTCAGGAGACTGTCCAGGTAAGGCAGCAGGAACTTCCTGGTGTGGCAGGCCAGCACAGAAGGCCAGGCCTCAGACCCTTAGAATTATAGAATCAAAGAACCGGAAGGGACCTGCAAGACCAAGTCCAGTCCCCTGCCATGGGCAGGAGGTTATTGGGCTTCTACAAGCTCAACGAGGTGCTTGTCCAGACTCCTCCTGAACACCTCCAAGGATGGCAACTGCACCACCTCTGCTCTGAGAGTGTTCCAGATTGTAGATACCCTTACAGAAAATAAGTTTTTCCTTATGCCTATCCTAAATTTTTCCTCAATTAGCTTGTGCCCATTGGTCCTTGTCCTCCCAGGGGGTGCCTTTCTGAAGAGTTGCTCCCCTAGATCTTGGTGTTTACACTTGATATACTTGTAGGTGGCTATCAAGTCACCTCTCAGTCTTCTCTGACTCAGACTAAACAAACCCAGTTCCCAGAGTCTTTCCCCATAGGGCCTATCCTCCTGGCCCCTAACCATATGTGCAGCCCTTCTCTGTACCCTTTTGAGCTTATTCCCATCCTTCCTGAAGTGTGGTGCCCAGAACTGGACACAGTACTCCTGCTGCGGCCTTACCAATGCCAAATAGAGGGAGAGAAGCACCTCCTTTGATTTACTGGCAACACACAGGCTGATGCATGCCACAGTTCTATTTGCCCTGTGGGCAGTTTCATTGCACTGTAGGCTCATATTCATCTTCTGGTCTACTGTCACCCCCAGGACTCTTTCAGATGCAGTGCCAGCCAGTGGACCACCACCCATCATATAGTCATGGTAAAGGTTCTTCCTACCGAGATGGAGGACCTGGCACTTGTCCCTACTGAACCTCATCCGATTGTGTTCAGCCAATAGGACCAGTCTAAGGTCATCCTAGATCCTTACCCTATCCTCAGATGTGCCCGCATTTCCCCACAGCTTGGCGTCATCTGCAAACTTACTCATTGCACTGCACTTTCCACCCCTCATCCAAGTCATTGATAAAGATGTTAAAGAGCACAGGCCCAAGCACTGATCCCTGGGGGACATCACTGGAGATGACCCTCCAGGATGAGGCCATCCCATCAATTACAACTATCTGGGATTGGCCTCTGAGAGAGTTGTAATTGATGGGATGGCCTCATCCTGGAGGGTCATCTCCAGTGGTGTCCCTCAGGGATCAGTGCTCAGACCCGTCCTCTTTAACACCTTGTAAGGGCAGAAGCAAGACTTTACTGTAAATAGTTCTTCTTACAAATTCCTATAAATAATGTGGTGTTTCTATATCATGAGCCTCATCAAGACTGCACAGACTGCAGGCAGCAGTTCACTTGCTGCTTCATTTCTCATACAACAGCAAGTGCAGAGGGTTAACACAGGACACTGAAGTATTCTGTTTCCTGTGGTCAGAAGAGGCAGTCATTAGAGCACAGTGTCTGCATACTTCTATTCTTCCCCGCGTCTTCTGCAATGAAGAAAAGGCAGTCTTCCCGATTAAGAGATGCATTCCCAATTTTGGAGGGCTAATTTTGGGAGGGGGAAAAGTGCATCTGATACGCAAGTAAATCCAGTATCTGGCATATCAGTTTCTCAGCTACCACATTCTTTTGGAAAAAAATTAGATGGCAAGAAAATTACGCAATACAAGTGATTAAACACATTTTAAAAAAAAAGCTTTTAGTATCCCAATGTTCTTTTAAAAAGTTTCCCAAAGGTTATTGCAATTTCACCTAGATTATGAAGCTGCCAGAAATGTCTGTTAAAAATAAACAAACAACCAAGTGGTTGTAAACAAGTTTTTTGGAGCTGCAACTTCTTATTGTTTTCCCACTTAATCTATGGTCCAAGTATCATAATTCTTATTTAATTATGTATGCTCTCTTTGTAATGCTTTCTGGGTGATTACACCTACATGAAATTTTCAACCTTTCACATAGTTTATGCAGATACCATTCTTAAAGGTTAAGTCAAACGATTAAAGATCATACAAAGATTTTAACAGCAACTGTAAAGAATAAGCCCAAATTATAAGGAATAATAAAAAAAAATCTTGTCTCCTTATATCATCTCATTTATTTTCAAAGCAGTTTTCCTTGGATATGCAGAACTTTAGGGTACTGTTTACAGCTGACCACTTAATAAATGCCGACACATTCTCTCCATTGTGATAGTCTATATTAAAATGCATTGTAAAGAAATGTGTTCTATTTTCTGTGCAACTGCCCATTTGTGGAGTCACTGCTATACCCAAATGCAGAAGTGAGTATATTCCAACAAAGATGTTTGCTTATGCCTTGATTCTACAACCTGCTGTATATGGGCAGATCCCCAAAAGTAGCCTTACTATGTATTTTGCAGCGTTTTCCAATGTCCATAAATTTATGGACAGTCCTTATCATCTGTAAAGTCCATAAAAAAAACTGAGCTGCCTGTAAAAAAATTAAGAAACCATAAGCTTGATTGCAGTTCCATTGTCAGAATGAGGCTGAATGCAACCTTCAGCAGTGATGGACAACCAGAACAGAGCAGTGCTATCTCATGTTGGAACAAGAGCACAGGTCAGTGCCCTGCAGAGAGATTTCATGGTTTTGTGGCTTACAGGAGCCTCTATAGCCAGTCCCCAATCTCCCCCCACCACTGCCCTGCTGCTGCACCCTGTTGGCCATTGGCTCCCTGTAACAGCTGTTTGTTTCAAAGGTAGGCAGGGCTTTGTGGCCCTGGGCAATCTGAGTCTCAGTAAAAAAAAATGGCAGTAAAAAAGTTTGGTAGTCAGTAAAAAGCTTGTAGATTGTAAGTAAAAATACCAAATTATAGGGCTGGAAACCCTGATACTCAGTGAGTCTCCAAATAGTCAGATTTAAGTATGCCCTCATAGATCATTTGCATGACTGGGGCCTTAGAGGAGGAACTTAAGTCAACATTATTTTTCTCCATTAGAATCCTAACTCTTTTCCCCAAAGCACATCGCTGCAGCCATACCAAGAGATCATTTCTAATGGACTGAGAATTTTAACTGAGACTAATTACCCTCACTGTAGGAGTCCAGGGCATACTTTCCTCTTTACCTTTCCTTATCTCACAGGGACACTGCACAGGTCCTCACTGATCAAAGACAAAGCCCTCAGGTTAGTTTTGAATGGGATCTCTTATGCATTAGTCCAATACGCAATTTGAACTGCTATCAGCTAGGCCACGGAGGTAATTTTAATGAAACTGGTAATTTTTCTGAAAGGCAAAGGTAATCAGTGCTTTAATGATTTCAGTGGGATTATTTCATAACCTTTTCCTTTATTTGGAAGTGATAATCTCTATGTTATGTAGCCACTGAAGTACAGGTCAGTAGGCCAGAAAAACACCCCACTGACATTCTGCTTTATTTTCATATTTCCTGTGTGTGAACATAAGCTTCAGCCATCAATGACCTTTCTTATATATCTTTAAAGTGCTCGGATAATTATGGGGCTTAACACATGGTGAACCTTTTTTGCTGATTTCAAATCCAATCAATCTTCATGGGTTTGAAAATGTGACTCTTGAAGGTTAACAAATCTGTATTGTACAGGAAAACATAAGGTATACAGAACAGTATGAACAAAAAGATGAGTTATGGAAAAAAATTCCAACAAATCCTATGCTGCAAATGCAGCAGAGGATAAACTATAATGAAAAATTCCTGTGAAAAACTGATAGTATACACAGTGCCTTCAAATTATATCAGATTAGCTTTCTGGAGTCAATGTTTTGACACCTAATATGTATTACTAATATCCCTTTATACTTTTTTTCTTTTTTAATATTGTTTTTCATTGTGTTATTTATTAGAGCACAGGTAGCAGAATTTCTATTGGCATTTCCATTACAAAACCTGTTTTTAAGATATTTATGGTAAACATACAACATGATTACCTGAACGGATAACTTAGCATATATAGCTTCAGCACACGTGATTCTGTCTAGTTAAGGAAATATTATCATTTAACATTTAGCTCACAACATTTTCTTCTTTTCTCTGGCTTTAGATATGTTTCACATGTGCACACATACAAGCTCATTTTAAAAAAGTAAATAGTATTGTACCCACATGTATCTAAAGGAAATAAACAAGTCTTCAGAATTAGAGGTATCCTCAAGGCTGCAATAATAAAAATAAATAACTATGTACAAATTAAGTCAGTTACCAATTTAAACTGAAGAATCATTCAACACAGCCAAACATATATTCTCACTAACAAACAGTAGTACTATTTCTCAAAGAATGTTTTCCTTTCACCACAGATAAGAAATTGCAAATCATTCTCAAGACATATATATGTGATCCATTCCTACACACAGAATCTTGTCCATGAATTTGTATTTTAGTCATTTGAACTTCTTCCCTCCTGCAGACAGTCAGAAAGGCAACAGATGGGTCCTATTACAACTTAGCAAAACAGCAAGAGAAAGCTATGAGAAATACAGGAAGTCAAAGAATCCATGAATCTGGCAAGAAATCAGCCACAGTTATGAATAAAGAATAAGGCATACCTGAGACATGCGTTCACGGTGCTTGGCTTCAAGCCTCTCTTTGGCTTTCTGGAAATGGGCATGTTCATTCTCATCACCAGGTGTCTCCAAGTACTTGTCAACAGCATCAGGAGTGCTGGCAGCTGTGGTGGGTACTGGGGCAGAGGGGTTTACAGGAGAAAAGGCGGAAAAAAGCACAATTTCCAGTTTAATATATATAAATGTAATTTAGTTGCACATAAGAGCAAACAGCTATGTTTCACTCGAGTAGAAAAAAAAGCCATTCAAGTAACAGAAGTCAAGAGGTTAGCTGCATAAATTACATGTGCATATGTGCATGTGTGTGTATATAAAAGAAAAATGGTGACATACGAGAAAGATCTCACCTTTTTTATAACTTGGGAAAAACTCAAATCATCAGTACAATGTTACTTGAACAGATTATGAACCATTGGCAAAGGGAACATGCAACAGTAAACACATTTGGCGCTGCCTATGATACAGAAAAACAGCAGACGTTTTTCAAAACCACATGCTTTATTTAGTCATTTGTTTGTAAAGGTGAGATAACACAAACAGGCGCAGCAACACAAAAACACTACAGAGACCATGTAAACCACAACCATTCCTGTAGTCCAAAGAAATGCCATTTCAAACCCTAAGCTCAGTGACACATCATTCTCACGAAGGTGTGTTTTGTAAGCCTTCTTTGCTGTAACTTGGATAAAAAAAAAAAAAAGACTGCTGATCAAAAGGCTGATCAAGACATTTGAGATTAAGCAAGAATAGCTTGATTGTTAGGCACTCCTAGTAGTTAATCAAGCTATCTATATGACATCAGGGAAAGGAGAAAGTTTGTATTTTGGGTAATTTAAGCCGAGTGGATAAGAATTCTGTTATTATATAGCAACTACGATCAACTGGTAGATAATACAGAACACATTTTTGTACAAGAGATTTAATGGAAAGTTTTTCTTCTGTTTTTATGTAAAAAGAAAAGTTCTAAGAGTAAGCACTCAGTCCATTTCAACTGCATTCTCCCTAAATGTTTTGTTACAATTAGTCTCATATCTGTTGCGTGATTTTGTTCTGCTGCTGCAAAGTAATTTTAAAATGCTAGTGACAGAACCTGTCCATGGCACATACATTCAGAAAAACTTTACTTCCTCTTCTTCTTCCTATGAGTTTGAATTCAAGTGTTTAACTGCCAGTTATTCCTCTAAAATCTCAAGACTGAGCATGTGATTCTGGTAACTCAACAGCTTTTCCTTCTGATTTTGAATTACAGGGGAGAAAACAAACAAACAGATACACCCGCTTGACCTCACACCCACAAAATGTTACCGAAGTTTATTCACACAAGCGATTATATTGACTTCAGTGGGAATGCTTATTGACTCGTAAATAAAACAAAACATGAGTGTATTCATAGTTGAGGGACCCATCTGAATTAAATGTTAAGGACCCAACAAAAATGTTAATTCAAAAAAAGGTTTGCAATTTTTAAAATGTATTCTGTAACATGCAATAATAGCTTTACTATATGGTAAAAATACAACTGCTGTAGGCTGCAAATAGATGTTGCCTTTGTGCCATCATAAACATTTTTATGGTGACACAAAACAAATGTCCATGCCCTTTGTCACAGGCTATGACAAAGGCAGTATTAAACTGTGTCACTATTTTGCAGTGGATGTCTATTTGTTTAAAGGTAGGAGAGTATGGGCAGCCTAGCTCTCTAGCCATGCCAGGCAGGCACTGCTGGGACTTCAGGGGTCTGATCCTGTGTGCCACAGAACCTTTTCATTTGGCAATGTCTGTTTATAGCCATAGGAGTATCAACAGCAAGATCAGGAACAACAGCTACTTCTTTAATTAAACTAATTAAGCCCCATCTCATTTAAGATATCACTGCACATTCTTCAAAGAAGGCTTACATGACTCTTGCAGTTGGTAAAACAATGCGTGTCATAATTTGTGTCTATACCAAAAACCTTGAAGTCTTTTCTTTTCTCCTAAAGTAACCAATCCCACAAAACCCAAACAAAAGAAAAGCACAGGCACCACAAACCATCATTTATTCTGCAATTCTTAAGAGTTGTTCTATAGGTGGTTGGGGGGGGGGGGTTAATTTTTACTGCAATCTACAATATTAAGCAAATTTTAAGCTTTCATTAAAAATAAAAAAACTATTACAAAGGTACATTCTTAACAAATAAAACCAAATCAACCCAACTGAGCCTTTAGACAACCAATAGCAGTTGTAAAAAATATAACCCTTCTCTTATACGTTTATACATAGCTTGAAAAGCCTGACTGAAGCAAATTTTAAGCACAGACCATTTATTTTCATTATTTTATTTTAAGCTGTCACTGCCTAGCTAAATTACCACTGAAAATGCAACATTAACTTTGCAAAACTAAAATGGCAAAAAAGTCAGGAAATGTAAGAATGTAATTTCCTCTTTGTGGATTACAGAGATAATTATGATGGAAGGTAACTATAACTCCATACTTCAGTCACCTACATATATTCACCCAATTGTCGATCAATATATATAGAAGTGTAGCCCATATATATGTTACTCACATTTTTGTACATATATACATACTACTTTTAAACAACAGCCCTTATAACAGCCCCTGTGAGATAGGTAAGCAGTTAATGTTATTCTGCTGATGAAGACACTGGCATACAGTGGGGTTTAGTGGCTTGCCCAGCAACCCCTAATGAATAAATTTCATGAGTTCTTGCCTTCCATTTTTTTCTTTTTTCCCATGAGTTCACTCTCCAGTTTCCCCACCATTAAACATTAATTTATAATTATGAATAGAACTATGAATGATGGATGTTCATGCTGTTTATTATTATAAAATGTGTATTGAGCACTGTGTATTTACAAGGTTTATTATCCAATGTAATAAATCCTTTTGTTGTTTGTCTTCTTATTGATTGCCTGTGGAAGGAGTGATTTTTGGGCGAGTGATATTCCAGGCTTATTCTTTTTATGAAGAGGGGGACTTATAATTTCTTCTCAACCCAAAAGGGGTGTTGGGCACCTTGATCTGGTTGAGATTCCTTTGCTAGAACTGCAAGTTCTGGTATAAGGGCAGGGAAACTGGGGCTTGCTGAGTTAAGGAGTTATCTTAGGGCAATCATGGTCTGTTCCTTGAAGCAAACAGGAGCATAGTGGGGAGATGGGTTTGTCACACGCCATATTAAAGCAGTGACTTGAAGCCTCCTACTTTGTGCCTTAACTACCAAATTTGCTGTTTCCAACTGGGGTTTACCATGGCACCAGTAAGTGAATGGGGGTACAGAGCAGGGAGGGAACTGGACCAGCAGCCCACATGTGGTGGCCAGAACTAGAGGGGTTACTATCATGAGCAATAAATATATACTCTTGGAGACATCCAGGCAATTGTTTAGCGGTTAAGATTAGCTAATGCAAAGCTTGCAAGTTTGGAACCTGCAAGTGGAATTTGTCTGTCACAATTTAACCAGTGTTGAATCTAACTGTTTGCACTAATCACGGGCCCCAAAAATAAGCAACCTACAAGATTAGCAGATCTAACAGGTTTTTTTTTAAAGGTCAGCCATAACAAGATCTGACCACCTAATATAATTAGCACATTCCTAGGAATCCAAGGAATAAAAAACCAAGGGGTTGAGCTCGGGCAGGTAATGCTAATTTCAAACCTCAAAGTAATGTGGTGTAATTTGCTTATTGGGTGAACCCGAGTTTGGGTGGTAGCCTTTCATGATAATTTCTAACACCTTTTGATCCCATAGGGTAACAGCTATAGGGCAAGATTGTGAGTGACTCTAAAGTCAACAGATTAGCATAAAATAAAGCAAAAAGGAACGTGTATGTCAAGTGACCAGTTAGAAGGACGTGACAGAAGGACCATTGCTGTACCAAGCCTGGACCTCAGACTCCCAGTGTGAGTGAGAACTGGATCCTGACCAAGGGTCCTTCCCGGTGGCCCCTCGGACAGCGTTGACTGGGGACGCCTGACTTCGCTGGAACACCTTGGCGTGCACCTGGCATAGAGGGACTGTGGATAAGTTGCCAACCCCATGTGGGAACTCTGTCATTCTATCTGTTGTTATCATTCACTATTAGCTTTATTAATGTACTACTGTTTGTTGCATTACCCTTTCTGTTAACTGTTGTATGCTAAGCTATAAGTAAATTTGCCTTTACTTCACTCCTGACTCACTTCCTCAATTCTGAACCCAGCAGGCTAATGGCTGATACACTCATAGCACCTAGCTGGCCTGACACCCACTTCAGCAGCTGAGAGGTAAGCATCTGGCTCACTGTTCTAAAATGTTGCTGACCCCTGAGGCATTATGAAAGAGTGGGCACAAGATTTGTGCAGAGCACGCAGAGGAGACTGTTAAATGATAAAGCTACATGGTAGTACTTACCATAGATATTAGAGTCAATATCAGTGCCTGGCATGGTGATTACACTTGCTCAGAAAAGGCAGAATCCTAGCAGTGATATTAATGACCTAGGCATCTTTGACAGAAGTTGTGTATGGATGTGTGCAATATCTTGTTAGAAGGCTGCACAGCTTGAGATGACCAGCTGCAAGTATCTGAATGGTAATGGAAATTATTTAAATTCTCTGAAGTAAGGGTGCAGGAATAAAACTCAAAGGAAAAGTTGAGACTGAATATTAGTAAAGAGTATTCTTAATGTGCAAATTAAAGTGGATGTGATCTCTCCCATAATAAAAAAATGTGGAAGATAGTTCCACATTTCAATAAATATTACTATTAAGAATATGATTTTCAACTATTCAGTCTAAACTTTCCCTTTGAGCTTCATCTCTTCACCCTTTATTAAGCCTTCTGTTTAGGTCTTTTGCATTCACTAAAGCCTTCACTTAAGGGTAGGGAACAATCCTGCATTGTCATGGGATGGAGAAAATGTCCACAGAGGTATTTTCATCTCTTGTCACAAGGTGTTAGCCATATAGGTTAACTGAGTTGGAGTTCAGAAGTGAAAGCACAGTAGTTTTTAAATAAGTGGAAATAAGTGTCAAAACAACAATTTTAAAATAAAAGGCTGAACTATTAATCAATCTAGTATAACAGACAACTGAAGAGCAATGGGGTTAAGAGACACAGGCCTGTTAAAAA